GATTTCAATTATTTGTGTAATCTAAAAAATGAAGCAAATGAACATATAACAAAACAGAAACAGATTTGTAAATACAGAGGAAAAAACAGGTGGTTGCCAGAGGAGGGGGGGGCGGTGGGAGGAGGAAAGAAATAGGTGAAGGAGATCAAGAGGTACAAACTTCCAGATGCAAATAAGAAACAGCCTTGGGTATGAGATTTGGGAAATATAGTCAGTAACTATGTAATATCTTTGTATGGTGACATAAACAGACTTACTGTGTTGATCATTTTGAAATGTATAGAAATATCAAATCACTATGTTGGGCAACTGGAACTACCAGTGTTGTAGGTCAATTACAGTTCAAAAACAAACTCACAGGAAAAGAGATTTGTCCTTACCAGAGGCAGTGTGTGCGTGGAGAAGGAATTGAACGAAGGCAGCCAAAAGTTACAAACTTCCAGTTACAAGATAAATAAGTACTAGGGATGTAATGTACAACATGATAAATTTAATTAACACTGCTGTATGTTATATATGAAAGCTGTTAAGAGAGTACATCCTAAGAGTTATCACAAACTTTTTTGCTATTTCTTTAATTTTGTATCTATATGAGATGAATGTTCACTAAACTGATTTGGATAATCATTTCATGATGTCTGTATGTCAAATCATTATGCTGTATACCTTAAACTTGGATACAGTGCTGTATGTCGATTATATCTCAATAAAACTTAAATAAATGAATAACACATTAATAAACCTAACTTAGGAAAAAACTTTATAGCAAGATTAAGTGAATCCTATGCCAGGACTCCAATGTTTTGGTTGTTAGGAAGTATATTAATATAACTAATCAGCTTACAAATTTAGGAAAGGTATGTGACCAACTCGATAGATGCAAATAAAGTAGCATGGTAGAATATTACAGGTAAAAATTATAGAAATAAAGAAGATATTAATGCATATGTACTCAAAGAAATGTCACATACCCACAACACGAGTTCACCTATAGAGAAATAATAGATTAATTTCCTCTAATTGTCAGATCACTAGGAGACATGAACACCTAACTTACTTAACACTTTGAGGTATTAGTACAAAAAAAAATACCACTGGAAAAGGATTAAAATTATCTCCATTTGCAGAGCATACGGATATATATCTAGTAAGCCCAAAGAACAACTGGAAATTTGTTACAGAAAATAAGACAATAAAATATTTTAAAAACTATAACATAAGCATGTAGTACACAGTTCATATAGACACATCGCAAGCAGTCACCAGGTATGTTAAAAGGGAGGCTGCAATTTTTAAAGTATAAAATAAAAATAACAACACATGTGAAAAGCCTACATGAATAAAATTATCATGAACTCCTTATATAGGTAATACAGCTTCGAAGAAAAGGAAAAATCGATTTCCTTAAATATAATAAGAAATCATATAGAGAGAAAAATATACCAATATGCATATGTGTATGTATATATTTGTGTGTATATGTGTGTGTGTATACATATATATACACACACATAAAAGTTTTTCTGGGGATAATTTATTGTTTACATAAAATGAGAAAAAATATAAAATGTACATAAAATAGTTATTTTATGAAATAAAAGATTATTAACTTAAATATATTTTACAAGATACTTTATATATGTTTCATGGAAACTACAAAGAAAAAAAATCTATTGTAGTTACACAAAAGATTAATCCTTTTTCTTTAAAAAGAATTAATTCATATCACATCAAAAAAAATACAAAGGAACTACAACAACGACAATAACAGAAAATAATGAAAGTCCTTATCAACAATTAAACATTAACAGATGAAATTCTCCAATTAAATGACACAAAGTGGTTGAATTAATTTAAAAAAAGAACCTACAGGGAATTCCCTGGTGGTCTAGTGGTTTCACTGCCAGGGACCTGGGTTCAATCCCCGGTCGGGGAACAGGGATCCTGCAGGCAGCATGGCATGGCCAAAATAAAAAATAATTTTAAAAAGAACCTACAATATGCTGTCTACAAGAGACTCAATTTAACTTTAAGGACGTATATAGGTTAAAGTGAGAGGATGTAAAAATATATTCCATGCAAAGGCAACCCCAAAGAGAGCAGGAGTACCTATACTTAGATAATACATATTTTCAATCAAAATCAGTCATGAGACAATGTTACTATACAGTGATAAAGGAGTCAAATTATCAAGAGAATATTACAAGTATAAATATGCACCCAACACTGGAACATGTAGACATTTAAAGCAAATATTAACAAAACTACATACAGAAAAAGCAATAAAGTAACAGGGTACTTCAATACCCCATTTGTAAATGTGGATAGATCATCCAGGCAGAAAATTCATGAGAAAACATTGACCTGCACAACACTTTAGAAAAGTAAACCTAACGGATATATACAGAACATGCCATCCAAGGGCACCAGAAAACACAGTCTTCTCAAGGGCACATAAAACATTCCCAAGGATATGTCATTCCTGGGCCAAAAAGCCAACTTTAACACATTTAAGACTAAAATCTTATCTCAAAGCTTTCCAACCACAATGATATGGAGCTAGAAATCAATAGGAGAAAAGTCTGGAAATTTTACAAATACATGGAAATTAAACAACACATTCCTGAATAACCAGTGGGTCAAAGTAGAAATTGAAAGAGAAATTAGACAGTACCTTGAAAAAATATAAATACAAAATACCACAATTTAGGGAATACATCAACAGTAGTTCTTATGTGCCTACATTTTAAAAAATGAAAGTTTTCAAAAACAACCTAACTTTACACATCGAGAAAGTAGGAAAATAAAGAATTAAGCACAAGATTAGAAGAAAGGAAAGAGCAAAGATTAGAGGATAAACAATGGATAAAGAGACTAGAAAAAAAATCAAGCTAAGAGTTGGTTTTAAAAAATAAAGCAAACTGACAAACTTTTAGCTAGACTAACCAAGGAAAAAAGAGAAGTCAAAAAATCTGATAAATGGAAGAGGAGACATCAAAGAAATACAAAGGACCATAAGAGTATATTATTAACAATTACATACCAACAAATTAGATAAATTATAATAAATAAATTTCCAAAGCATGAACCTACCAAGACTGAATCATGAAGAGAAAGTCTGACAGACCAATAATAAATGAGGACATTGAAACAACAAACATAAACCTCCCGATAAAGAAAAGCCCAAGACCAGATGGTTTCACTGGTGAATTCTACCAAACATTAAAAAACTGGACTTCCCCGGTGGCGTAGTTGTTAAGAATCCGCCTGCCAATGCAGGGGACACGGGTTCAAGCCCTGGTCCGGGAAGATCCCACATGCCGTGGAGCAACTAAGCCCATGCACCACAACTACTGAGCCTGAACTCTAGAGCCGGAGAGCCACAACTACTGAAGCCCGCGCACCTAGAGCCCGTGCTCCACAACAAGAGAAGCCACCGCGGTGAGAAGCCCACGCACCACAACAACGAGTAGCCCCCACTCGCTGCAACTGGAGAAAGCCTGCGTGCAGCAACGAAGACCCAATGCAACTAAAAATAAATTTAAAAAAATAAAATAAAAAATTTAAATCTATAAAAAAAATAACACCAATCATTCTCAAACTCTTCCCAAAAAATTGAGGAGGGAAGACTCCCAAGCTCATTTTATGAGTTCAGCATTACTTTGACACCAAAGCCAGATAAGGAACACTATAAGAAAATAAATCTAGGGGCTTCCCTGGTGGCGCAGTGGTTGAGAGTCCGCCTGCGCGTCCGGAGCCTGTGCTCCGCAACGGGAGAGGCCACAACAGTGAGAGGGCCCGCGTACCGCTAAATAAATAAATAAATAAATAAATAAATAAATAAATCTGTAGGCTGATATTCCTGATGAACGTAAATGCAAAAATTCTCAGCAAAAGTCTAAATAAATCAATAAGGGTGATACACATTGCTAAAAGAATGAATATATGATCCTTTCAATAGATGCAGAAAAAGCAACTGACAAAATTCAAAACATTTTTATGACAAAAGCTCTCAAAAAATTGGGAACAGAAGAAGCATGCCTCAAAATAAGACCATATAATACACATCCACAACTAACCTTGTACTGTACCTTGTAACCCTGAATGGTGAAAAATTCAAAGCTTTTCCTTTTTAATCAGGAACAAGATAAAGAGTATCCACCCTCACTACTCTTATTAAAGACAGTACTGAAGTCCTAAGCAGAGCAATATGACACAAAAATAAATAAAAAGGCATTCAAAATGGATAGGGAAAAGTAAAGCTTCCTCTGTTTTCAGAAAACATGATCTTATATACGACCTCTTCTCTCCCCCAATATGGTGAAAATAAATTCAATAAAGTTGCAGGACATAGAACCAACATACAAAAGCCAGTTGCATTATATGCAACAGTAACAAAATATTTGAAAGAAATAAAATAATTCCACTTACAAGTAATTGTTGTCCTCGACCACCCTAAGGGTCCCCGGGCGTCTGTGACAGCACGGGTCCGACCTCTTTAGTCGGCTGAGGCACCCATCCCCCGTCCCCTCCCCCCTGGTACTTTATCTAATAGCGGAAGGAGCGCAGAGGCACTTGGCTAAAACAGGAGACCTGCGAGCCTGTGGATGAGTTTTACGCCCGAGAGCTCGAGAGGCAATTAAACATTATTGGAACCCACTGTAAGCGCGGGGAGGGGAGGTTAGGAGGCGGAGTCCCGCCGCAGCGAGTCCCGCCCCAGGACTCGCCCCCGCCCCTTCCCCGCCGTCAGGAGGAGGGGCTCTGCACCTCCCCCTCCCCGATTCCCCTCAGGACGCTCAGGTTTCCACCCCACCCCGGGGCCCAAGCAAGCCGGGCGGAGGTCAGGGGCGAGATGAGGGACCCAAATTCCTCTTGACTAAGGTGCTACGGGGCAGCTCTTCTTAAAAGTCGCAGCTCCGAGCGAACCCCTGCGGCTCGAAAGTTGGCCTCGCGACCCCCCGCCCGCCCCCGCAGGCGGTGCAGGGTGCGGGCCACCTTACCTGGCCCGAGGCCCCAGGGGCGGCCGGGGCCTCAGCGGGCGCGGTCCGTCGTAGCGCAGCGGCCAAGCGGCCGTGGGCTGGGTCCGCGTCGCGCCGCCCTCCCCTCCGGCTCCCGGGAGCTAGGGCGGATGGACGCAAGAGAGGCCATGCAGGGAGTTTGGGCTCCCCAGGGACACGGGCTCCATTCCGGGCGGCGGGGCACTGGGCCCTCAGTCACTTGCAGGGCCTTTTATCCGTTCCCTTCCTCGCCCCACCCCGGGCGCTAAACGTCAGGTGCCCCGGATTTAGGGCAGGTGGCGGGCTTCTAGTCATGTGACCCGGCTCCACTCACTCTGCCTCTCAAGCCTGAAACTTCAAAAGTCGGAAACTTCTTGATCCCAGCACCTAACATAACTTTTGACGTAAAGGCTGGGATCAATGATTGTACAACAGATGGATAAGCGAGAACCTTCTGCTGAGGGGAGGGGTGTGGAGACAGGAGGGGGAGGCTCAGATGGAAAGGGAAGAAGGAAGTTGGGGGAAAACTCTGAGAGGAAGGGCACAGGTATGAGCACAGCCCACCCACCAAAATACCACCGCTTTTACAGGCTCCACGTTTTACAGGACCACCAGCCCCGTTTCCCAGATGCCAACACCCACGCAGGCTTACAGCTTGCAAACTGCAAGCCCAAGAGTCAAGCCGGGTATTTCTGGGTCCAGAGTCTTGCCTCTGGAGAAGCAAAGGGCAGTCACACCGCAGACAGCCTGTGAGGCTGTCCAGCCACTGGGCCACCTGACCAGGCTGGAAGTGCCCCATCGGATGCTGAAGGGGCAGACCTCTGTCCTCTGTGTGAGGCGAGGCAATTTGGGCCGGAAAGTCAGAAGCGCCCGGTTACCAACCCCTCCTCTCTGGGCACGTCCTTGGGGTTCCTCCATCCCCATCTCCCAGCCTGGATGTCTGGCCGGGAGCCACAGGTGGGATCCGCCGGTGCTCTGGCGCCCTCTAGCGGCCGTTCGCTCTAAGGCCAACTCTTAGCCCTTCCTCCTGCCTCCCTCCCCAGCCCTGGGGGCTGCACTGGCCTTGGGCACCTGCCAGCCTGATTTTGTTCCTCCTCTCCCTTTAAGCACAATGAAGTGCCCTACAGAGGTTTAGAATCTCTTGAAGAAAGAAGCTCTTTTAGTCAATACACCTTGACCCTGAGAAGGTGGTTTCTAGAATGAACCTGAAATACTGTATTTTTCTCCATGTGTTTCCAAGAAGAGAGAGCTCTAGTTTTCTAAGTCAAAAGAAATACAAAGTTATAAATACGATGTTGTGAGCCAGAGATGGAAAATCAACATTTTAGAAAGTTTATTCTTTTTGAATGGACATTTCATTGAAGACAGAATAAAGGATTCCCCTGCAGATTCCTTGAACTGTAAACATATAAAATCCCTCTGGACTTGATTGATTCAGTTGTGACATTTAAAAGAGAAAGCTAGAACTGTGCATGAGCAATTCTTCTTGACAAAACCGTTCGATCAATCAGCCCCCTTAAATCCCGTGACCCCTGTAGATCAAACAGGCCCCTTAAATCCTGAGACCCCCTTTGATTTATCAGCCCCCTTAAATCGAGTGACCCTTGTTGATTCATTAAGTTCCCTTATATCCCTTATATCATGACCCTTTTTGATTAAAATAGCCCCCTTAAATCCTGTGACCCCTGTGTGATCAAGCAGCCTCCTAAAATCCCGTGACCACCGTTAGATCTATCAGCGGCCTTAAATCCCATGACCTTCTTTGATTCAATTAGCACCCTTAAATCCTGTGACCCCTGTTAGTTCAGTCAGCAAGATAGCGGTTCTGGTTTCACAGGGAAATATCAGGAAGTGTTATCAACAGCACAGTCCTATTGAGGCAAGTTCATGCAAAAAACAAAAACAAACAAAAAAAACCTTTTGAGTTCCGTATACATATCCTACTATTTAAGACTTGCAGACCATTTATCTCTTTTTCCTTAACTTTAGAATTTCCATTCAGCTAAAAACACATTTGAATCTTTTATTCTGGTTGCTTTGCACCTAATGAGGCTTAAATTATGGCTTTAGCATTTTTAGCAAAGTTCTTCTGACTGATAAACGATTTACGATTTTCTTTTGTCCTCAGTTGCTTTACCTGCCTTTCAGGAGCCGCTCTCATTTTCAAGAACTTGAGAGTGAGACTTTGTGATTTGAGGAATTCCAGAAGAGGATGCATCCTTATAAGGTTAAAAAGAAAAAATAGTGTCATTTAGTAGTGTACAGAAGTGTGAGGGCCAAGATAAAGGATGAAGTTCCAGCTTCTTAAAAATGTGGAGGAAGGGGTCTGCTGGTGGCGATAAAGACATGGGTTAGAATGTTTCATGAGGGTCACTCATCACCACCTGGTCCCCCTCCCCCTTCTGGGACCACAAGCCAGTAAAGAAGCTGGTCCCTTTCAAATCGTACACCCGTGTCCCTGAAAGGAACCAGGTGAATGTGCGTGGCTGGATCAGAGTAAAACGCACATCTAAAAGGGTCTGCGTTAATGAGGCTGAAGGGCTGGGACTACTGCCTTCGTATACAAAGGACAGTCCTTTTTATTTTATGTTATCTCTTGTCTATTTGATGACAGCCATCCTGACAGGTGTGAGGTATCTCATTGTGGTTTTGATTTGCATTTCCCTGATGATGAGTGATGTTGAGCATCTTTTCATGTACCTGTTGGCCATCTGTATGTCTTCTTGGGAAAAGTGTCTATTCCGTTCCTTTGCCTGTTTTTCAGTTGGATTACTTGATTTTTTTGCTGTTGAGTTGTAGGAGTTCCTTATACGTTTTGGGTGTTAACCCCTTATCAGATATATGATCTACAAGTACTTTCTCCTCTTCTGTTTGTTGCCCTGACTTCTGCTTTCTGGGTGACGGGGGTCTAGGCACTCGGGATCCTCTGTTTCTCACACATGTGGTTACAGTAGTGGCCGGGGCTGTGTTCTGATAAAACTGCACGTGGCCGGGGATCACTAACCCCTCTTCTAGGAGGCAGCACGCGGAGTGCGGCGGTGGGCGGGCACAATTCCCCTGAAGTCATCAGTCAGATGGTCATGCGCTGTGGAGTTCACATCTCCCAGCCCCAGAGTGATGGGGCAACTTCTAAAGGGAGGACCTTGCGGCTGAAACACTGAGCAGGTGCTCTTGTTCCTTGTTGGAACGATCTGGAAACCAAGTTGTGTGGAACAGGGAACTCCCCCAAGTCACAGAAGCTCAGTTCAGACTTACTGGGACGCCAGATCTGCTCCGAGTCACCCTCACTGAGGAGCGAAAGCCCTCAGGCAGGGACGGGAGGAGCTGCTGGATTGCCCTTGCCCTGCTGGCCAAGGAGCAGCTCTGCGATGAGTGGCACATGCCTTTTGCTTTGGGAGTGGTTCTTTGGGGAGACTGGCTTTTTCCTCTGGTCGAGGGCCTCCTGTGTGCCAAGCACAGCAATCCTCTGTCACGGTTGGAAAGCTAGACACAGAGAGGTCAGGGAATGTTTCCAGGTCACACAGCTGGTAGGGGCAGCGCTGGGGTCTGATGCAGACCATCTGATGCAGACCAGATGCCCAGCCCTCACTCTCTCCACTTTCCCAGGAGCCGTCGTGATCCCACATGTCAGCGTCCCTCAGAGAGGCCCAGGCATCGGCGCTGGGAGCCTTCCCTGCCTAACAAGCCAGGACGCCGTAAGAGGGAGGACAGGATGCCCAGAGACTGCTTTTAGCGAGGGACCCAGCACACACCGGGCTGTTTCTCCTTGGAAACACATGGAGAAAAATACAGTATTTCAGGTTTATTCTAGAAACAACGTTCTCAGGGTTAAAGTGTATTGATTAAAAGACCTTCTCCGAGAGATCCTAAACCTCTGTAGGGCATTTCATTGCACTTAGAGGGAGAGGAGGAATGGAATCAGGCTGGCAGGTGCCGAAGGCCAGGGCATCCCCTGCGCGCTGGGGAGAGAGGCAGGAGGAAGGGCTGAGAGTTGGCTTTAGAGCCGATGGCCGCTAGAGGGCACCAGAGCACCGGAGGATCCTCCCTGCGGCTCCCCGGCCCGACCTCCAAGGCTGGGAGATGGGTTGGAGATGGGGTTGGCGGAACCCCAAAAAGGTGCCCAGAGAGGCGAAGCTGGTTACAGGGCACTTCTGACTCTCTGGCCCAAATTGCCTCGTCTTCCTGTTTAGGAAGAGCTGCGCAGCATCCTAGTCTGGGGAATTTAGTCCTTCATCTCGCCCCTGCCCTCCCACCGTCTCGCTAGGCCCAGCGTGGGTGGGGGGGGCCCCCGCCCCCCCCGCCCTGCGCGTGCCGGGGGAATCGTGGAGGGGGAGGCCCAAAGTCCTGCTGGAGTCGCAGCGCCCCTCCTCCCGACGGCGGGGAAGCGAGGGGGGTTGGGAGGGCTGTGCGGGGGGCGGGGGGGGGTCCCAGGGCTGGACCTGCGGCGCTGGGACTCAGCCTTTCAACCTCCTAACCCCCTCCCCCACCCCGCCTCCCTTTCAGTACGTTCCAGTAATATTTAACACAGATCCGTGCGCGCCACCTCCAGAGTTTATGATTCGGTGGGTCTAGTATTAGAGCCAAATAATGTCTCTCTGACAGTTTCTCAGGTGATGCTAATACTGCTGGTTTGGGAACCACACGCTGAGAACCAGCGCTTTAGCGATTCACTTAGACAAACTGTGCATTTTCTCTCCTGTGGGGGTACAGTGGAGGACAGCACTGGTGGTGAGGAAGCGATCTGCCATCTACTGAGCACCTGTGACATCTGCCGTGTGCCAGGCACCTCAGCAGCACTTTACGCGTATTATCCCACTTAATCCTCTCACCCGGCCCGCCAATCAATTCGTAATTATTTATTGAGACCCCGTCGTGTATCATGCCATGTGCTGTGCTAGGCTCTGAGGATGTGAAACCAACCCCACAGACATAATCAGGGACACATTCTTGAGCAAATAATTATAAGGGCAATTAGCCTAATCCACAGAGAGTGGAAGACCAGAGAGTTGAAATAACTTGGCTTGTGTTACGCAGCTAGCGGGTGACAGAGGAGACAAAACAAAAACCACTTCATTCCAAAATGTACAGTCCTTCCGCTAAACCAGAGGTTCTCTGGTTTTTGGTCTCAGGGACTCTTTACACTCTCAAAAATTATTAAAGACCCAAAAGATCTGTTTGAGTTAAATCTATCAACATTTACTGTACTGTATTAGAAATTAAAACAAAATGGTTCACACTTTGAGAACCACTGCACTAAACCAGGCTGCAAATAGTAACATCTTTCTTAGGTTCTGAACCCTGACTTGTTTTTTGTTTTTTTGATTTTGGCTGCGTTGAGTCTTCGTTGCTGCGCGCAGGCTTTCTCTAGTTGTGGTGAGTGGGGGCTACTCTTCGTTGCGGAGCGTGGGCTTCTCATTGCTCTAAGATGTGCACAGATCCTCTCAGCTGACACAACTGGGCATGCTATCCCCTGGCTCCCAGGACTGCACTCAACCCTGACCAGCTACTGTGCAGAGGGGGAGTTCCTGCCACTGTTCAGGGCAGCTCATTGCTGACAGAGGTTGGAGGCGGTGTGGGAAGGGAACATCACCCCTTTTCCTGGTCCCTGTTTGGTCTCTGCCAACATGCCATGGCTCCTGTCCTGGGCAGAAACCCCTAGGCTCTCATGGCCTCAGTAAGGGTACTGAAGTGGGTTTGGTACTAAGTAGGATAAAGCTATTCTTATCCTTTGAACAACCAGGTCAATAAGGACTCTTTTTTTTTTTTTTTTTAATTTTGGGGAGGTTTAAGAAATGGCTG